AACCCCATCCCTCTGGCTCTGTTGCCTGTAATACACACAGCTTGTCTCTTGGGCCAGTTTCATTCAATACAGTAGCTTTCCTTGGGAGACATCCTATGGTTCTGGCATCTCTAAGATCCTGAGGAAAAAGACTTCATGACCCTCTCAGTCTTCCATGCCTGCAAACCCAGTATTTGTGTGGAGAGCGATGCCATGTTCTGTTGCCATCCTGGGATGGAGTCTGGCCCTTTTGGAGCACAGCTGTATTGTCCTTGGTGAGCCTTGGTGGATGAATCTTCAAAATCACTTTCCAAGGTAGTTATTTTCCATCAGGGAACTCCTACGATACAGACTCTTTTGAAACAAATTTGTGTTTTCACAAGTTAAAACCTTCAGTGGGTGGGCTCTTGCCCTCAAGATCCCTTTTCTGTTGACCCACTGCAGAGCAGGAGATTTATTCTTAGTAAAGAGATTACTCTTTGACAATTATGGTGGCCTTCTGAGCACCCACCTTGTCTGCAACTTTAAACTTGCTCATATTCTTTTCCTCACCAGGCTGCACACATTCTATATCCTTCTGTCCCATTTGTTCTCTTTCTTCACTGTAGTAGAGATGTATAAGAGCTATGGGTAGTAATTATTCCCCAGCCTGAATGCTATCCTGCCTTGAGATTTCCTCTACCAAATTAGTCCATTATTTTTTAAATTCAGTCTCACTTCAAATTCTCAGGACACAGGTGGAACAAATCCAGATTCTTTGCCAGAATATAATCTGAATGGGTTTTAATCCAGTTCTTGGGTGAAGCCATATTCCCCTCTGAAACAAAAACAACCCTTGCATTTACTGCACTATCACTGGCAACCCTGTGAGGCAGATATTATTTTCTTTTTTATTATTTGATAATTTCATACACGCACATAAAGCATTTTGAACATGTACACTTCCCACTACTTTTCTTCTCCTCCTCCCACCAGAACCCTTCTTCCCAAAGTTCCCTTCCTACTTTCATGTCTTTTCTTTCTGTTTTTGTGACCCACTGAGTTTAAGCAGGATTGTGTGGGTGGGGAGTTATTTAGGGGATCATGAGTACCCAGGGGCTACACCACTGAAGAAAATAACTTCTCCTCCCTCAGTAGCCATTAAATGCCAATGGCTCATTGGAGAGGCCAAATCATGTCCAGGAGACCACTGGCAATGGCTGGATATGGGCCCAACACTCCAGTAACATCCATTTTCACAACAGGCTGATTCAGCGGGGAAGACATTATTTTCTTCTCTGGGCTAGGAGGCTCTGCGAGATTATGAAAGCAACCAGAGGTCATACTGAGGCTAAGAAATGGAATTGGTATTTTTTTTGTATTTTCATTACCATTCGATTTGAAATGTAATGTAATTTCCCTTATGATCTCTTCATTCAGCCATAGATTAGTTGAACGTATACTAATTAATTTCCAAATTTTGGAAATTAAGTGCTTTTCTTAGACCATGTTATTATTATTTCTAACTTAGTTCCATTGTCATCCTACATAGAAGTCATGTGACATCAGTGCTTTCAAGCTTGCTGAGACACGTTTTGTGACTTTGAATGCACCAAGTACACATTAGTAGAATTTATACCTTACAGTTGTGTAATATTATAGTAAATAGTGATTAATAAAGTTCAGATAATCTACAATGTCAATTGAAATTTTTTTCTAGTCCCATCAATTGTTAACTTTTTCATATACAACTGTGGAATTCCCCATTTCTCTCTCTCAGTCTGTCACTTGTTACTTCATGTATTTTGAGGTTTTATTATTATTAACATATACATTTAGGATTGTTACCTCTTCGTGTTTAATTGATCTTTGTACCATTACGGAATTCCCTCTGTCACTAGAAGAAGTTCTCTTTTTTTCCATAAGCCTATTTTACCTGCTACCAAATCCCAAGAACCTTCTTATATTTATTATTTCCTTAGTGAATATTTTTCTAGCCACTTATATTCTACTTATCTGTGCCCTTACAGTAAGTCTCTTTGCTTCTGTTTATCCATTCTGGCAATCTGTGACTTTTAATTAGAATTGTCATTAACATTTAATATAACTACTAGCTGATTGGATTTAGGTTCAACATTACATTGTCTTGTTTGTGCCCTCTGACTTTCTTAACCACTTTTGAATTTAATTTAAATTTATCCATAAACTCTTTAGCTATACTTTGCTTATCTTAATTGATGTTCTAGGGCTCCACTGTCAAATACAATAGTCTTCAGTCACTAATGGCTACTAAATGCTTAAAATGTGGCTATTCCAAAGTACCAAGATATACTAAAAGTCTAAAATGCACACAG